AAGTTTGCCGATGACACCAAGCTGTGTGGTTCGGTTGATAACGCTGGAGGGAAGGAATGCCATCCAGAGGGACTTTGACACGCTTGTGAGGTGGGCTGATGCCAACCTCATGAAGTTTAACCATGCCAAGTGCAAGGTCCTACACCTGGGTGGGAGCAATCCCAGGCACAGCTACAGGTTGGGCAAAGAAGAGATTCAGAGCAGCCCTGCGGAGAAGGACTTGGGGGTGTTGGTTGATGAGAAAACGAACATGAGACAGCTTCAGTGTGTGCTCGCAGCCCAGAAAGCCAACTGTATCCTGGGCTGCATTAAAAGGAGCATGACCAGCAGGTCAAAGGAGGTGATCCTGCCCCTCTACTCTGCTCTTGTGAGACCTCACCTGGAGTATTGTGTGCAGTTCTGGTGTCCTCAACATAAAAAGGACATGGAACTGTTGGAACAAGTCCAGAGGAGGGCCACAAGGATGATCAGGGGACTGGAGCACCTCCTGTATGAAGACAGGCTGAGGAAGTTGGGGCTGTTCAGCCTGGAGAAGAGAAGGCTGCGTGGAGACCTCATAGCAGCCTTCCAGTATCTGAAGGGGGCTACAAGGATGCTGGGGAGGGACTCTTCATTAGAGACTGTAGTGATAGGACAAGGGGTAACGGGTTAAAACTTAAACAGGGGAAGTTTAGATTGGATATAAGGAGGAAATTCTTTACTGTAAGGGTGGTGAGGCACTGGAATAGGTTGCCCAGGGAGGCTGTGAATGCTCCATCCCTGACAGTGTTCAAGACCAGGTTGGACGAGGCCTTGGGTGATACGGTTTAGTGTGAGGTGTCCCTGCCCATGGCAGGGGGTTGGAACTTGATGATCTTAAGGTCCTTTCCAACCCTAACTATTCTATGATTCTATGATTCTATGATCATCCAGCAACAAGCACAAAAAGCTCCACAGTTGCAGTTTGAGATTTATTTTAACTTTTCAGGAAAGCAAAATCTCAGAATCAAAACAAAAAGAGTGAAGGAACTGTGGGAAACCTGTTCCTAGATAAATGTGAAGTCAGATTATTTTGCTTTTTCCATCCTGGCAGGGCTGTTGGGATGCCACCCGGAGAGGACAGAGGATGTGTTGGTCTAATGACTAACAAGGCCAGAGGAGTCTGAGTCCAGACACTGCTAGTGTACAGAGACACGTCAGGCAAATCTCTAATTGCCTGTGACTTATTCCCATTTATACGAGGGGCAGAGGCTCAGTCCCGGGAATGCGGTGAGCATTTAATCAATTAGGGCTCAACTGCTGCTTTGAAATCCTGGCTTCTGAAACGTGGGGTAATTGTAGAAAGTCCTTTATTATTCCCATCAGCAGGGTCCGTGCCACAGTTTCACACATGAATAAGACCTTTCCCAAGCCTGGCTGGTCCTGCTCCCCATCTGGGTGACCTGCTGATGTGATGGTTCACAGCTAGAAGACATGGCTGTGCTGCCCATCACGAGCTGTAGTTTTCTTTGAGACCTTCCAGACAGAGCTGTGAGAGAGGGACCACAGGCAAGCTGAGGACAGACAACCACAAGACTGTGGTTGTTTTGCACTGATGAGAGAGGGCATTCAGTTTACAAGCACATGCCCCCGGGATGGCACTGAAAGGAAGCAGGGGGCATGGCTGTGTTCCTTGGAGGAAGGAAGGGACTTGCCATGGAGATGGAGATGGAGATGATGGAGATGAAGATGGAGACAGAGATGGAGCAGACTGTGGTGACTATGATCAATGGAAATGTCACTGGCCTTTAAAACCCCTCTGTGCTCCAGCCAGATGGCGAGCTGGCGGCAGCAGTGATCTCTATGCTGTCCTGTGCCTCTGGCAACACCCGTGTCCTGTGCTGCCCAGCGAGGAAGCAGCACCACCTGCAGGGACCCCAGCTGCTGTCCCAGGGTGCTGAGGAGTGAGCCCGTGCCCCCCAGGCAGTGCCTGTGACAGCAGACAGTGCAGCCAGCGCGCTGCCACAGGGCTGGAATGGGGCCGTCCATCAGCTTCATGAAGCCAAGTAAAATTTCTTAGGCGTCTCAGGTGAGAAGAAGGTGAACTATTATTACCGATAAGGCGTTTTCCATCCAAGTAGGACATTTTAAAATGCGCCATTCCCAAACAAGCATTTCTCAGAAGCCTGAGCAAAACCAGAACCCACTGGTTCGAGCTCCTCCCGCCTCCTCCGCCAGCCTCGCTTCCCCATTTGCCTTTTTTCAAGGAAGAAAGAAAAAATGTTGAAATGGGAAGCCTGCCGTCAGGACTGAGATTTCATGTTCCAGCAGCCTCAGTGGCCACACCAAACCCTGTGGGACCCTAGTGCCGAGGTTGTTACCCATGGGGGTGGTCATGCTGCACCGCAGCGCTGGTGGCTGCAGCCACTGCTGGGCTCTACTGGGACCCAGCGGCTCCTGGAGGTGGCACCAAGTGGAATAGCATCTCTACCTACTCACAAAGTGGCGGGAGCTGTGGGGATTGGGAGTGCTATGAAGGGCACCCTTCTCTTCCTCTAGGGGCTGTTCACCCTCAAGTGTGTTAGAAGGGAGCTGATGGCTTGAACCTTTTTCCCTGCTGTATTTGTGCTGTTTGCTGCTGCAGTCAATGCCCTTGGATATGGTTTCCCTTCTGTGGGACCGTTGCCCACCTTCAAAACTAGCACCCAAGTGCTCATTCTGCCCGGGGCAGCCTCAGTTTGGCAAGTGCCCAAGGAGGACGACCCTTCTACCGACTATGAAATGTCCTACGTGACATTTTGCCATGGCTCGCTGTGTCCAGATCACATGGCTGGGTCCATAGCTAGTGACTCAGCCTTGATGCAAAATCACTGCAGCCAAAGCTCTTGCTGTGCTCTGCATCAAAGCGAGGATGTCAAAATAGTGACAGAGCTCTCCAGACCTGATAGCATCCACGCTCCACCACGCATGGCCAGGGTCAGCATAAATCAACCTTGCCCAGGAAACTGCTGATCCAGAAGAAAATTGTGCCTCCCAAGAGCAGAATAAAGCTGCTCTTCACAGGCGAGGTGAGGTGATGTGGCAGAGCTCAGGTGAAGCGAACACCCTGCTGCTGTCGGTGGTTTTATGGCAGTGATGACTCTTAGGCTGTGAGGCAGCACCAAAACTGCACGTGCCTTTGAAACACCATATGTGCCAGGGCTACCTTCTGCACCTTTGCTGGGCAAGATGCACAGACACAATGACTTCCCGTATTGCAGAGCTGCTTTCGTGCCAGTCCTTGCTCCTGCTGACGTCTGACGACAGGCTTGTCAGATAACCTCAGGGGTCAGCCTGCGGCCAGGGTAGAAAACACCGGCAGAGCGAGCGCTTGGTCGCTCCATTGCCTCAGCCCTTGGTGTGTGCGAGTGCGGGAGCGGGGAGAAGCCAGTTGAGAAATACGAGGTCTCACAGAGAACTACACTGACTCCCTGGGGAGCATGCAGCAGGGAAATGCCATCAATCCATGTTTTCTAGTGAATGGCACTGCCACATAGCTGCAAAAAGGAGAGTGGAACAGCGTAGAGGCTGTCTGATTACCTTCTCCCCATTTCTCCTCTCCCCTCACTCTCTCTAGTTCATCCCAGGAATGCTGGGATTCACTTATTTCTCCCTCTGACCAGGCTGTGACTGTCACTGTTTCTCATGGTGGAAGAGGTACATTTTAAGATGCCATTTACTCCCTGTTAGCTTTAGCAATTATTCCCCAAGGTACAGAGGAACTTTCCCTGGTAACACCCTTTTTTCCAGCGGCTGAGCCAGGACCCCTTTACAGCCATGATTACTGCCAGGATCCATCAGAGGGCATCCCCCTGCTGTGACCCGTTTGTGTCATTCCCTCAGCAGACATGTGCCTCAGTGGCCTGGGGTACCCAGGGGGTGGCTTTGCTGTGCTGCCCTGGGGAGAGACACAGCTCCTGTGTGAGGGTGGAGGTAGCTGGGTCGCCTGGAAAACAGCGGGGGGGTTGAACTTTGTCAAAGGGCTGACTTCTGAGAGCTCAGGCAATCCCTGCATGCTCCAAAGTGTTTCCAATGCTGTCTGTCAAGGCAGATGATGCAGCCCAAGCATATTTAATATGATCCAGAGGGCAAAGGGGAAAATAGTTCAGTGACAGGCAGCAGTTACTGCTATAAGTACCTCTGACAAAAATGTCCCTGTGTGACTGCAGGTCTTCATTTCTCAACCCTTCTTACAGCTCTGGGCAAGAAAATCATCCCACCTTTTCTGTTTCCTCCTGAAGGATTGCTGGCTGCCTCAGTGGAGAGAGGATTTGGGGGATTCTTCTTCTGGAAGAATAATTTTGCTTTTGGGGATATGCCACAAGCACAAACACACACATGCCATGCATATGTGAATAAGATAGTCGTGATTGCAGCTACCCTTTTGGCTGTAAGCTCACTTCTCCCACAGCGTGCTTTCTCCTACAGTTCACCCCACACCCTTTACCCTTCATCCTGGCTCCACAGGGCTTCCCTCACTCCTCTCTTAGCCTCAGACATGTAGGAGCTCCCCCACACCTCCTGTGTCCTCCATAGTCTGCACTGTGTACAGCATCCCACAGCTTGCCTCCTCACTTATGCACTCACTGATACTTATGCCTCACTTATACTGCTCACTGATGTTCACCAGGCCCCAGTGAGACTGAACTGAAATGCCTTTATAAGCCTTTAAGGGGTATCACTCTACAGCCTGCAGCAGAAATTGTCTGGGGGGCCAAGGAGACCAAGTCTTGACTTGTCACCCCCCGCCCCCATGTTGTCTGTTACCTACCCCCATATAGGTAGCAGACAACAGAGTTAAAAAACTGGTTATGAAAAGCCCACTCACAAACCCAAAGGCAACGAAGTACATTATTCTCCTTTAGGAAAGGTGCTCTCAGCCCACTAACCAGGGCGGAGGACAGTTACCACCCATGGTAAAAAGCATGGCTGCCACTCCATGCTGGAGGCATCCTCTCCCAGCCAGCACTGAAAGTCATGTCGTGCCCCCTCAGATAATGCACCTGGGACAGGCTGAGCTCTGCTGTGATCCTACCACGAGATAATGCTGGGAGGAGCTCACTGGGAAGAGGTCGTGTTTCCACAGTGCCCAAGTCAGCACTATAAAGCCACTCCTCAGGGAAGATTAATAATTTAGGGAAAAAGATAAAGTCTCTATTGTGTTCTGAGTAGAGTCTCATATTTACTTATCACAATAATGTCTGAGCCCCTTCCGGTAATGCACTCAGCTATCTGATGCACGTTTGGCATGTTTGTTCTCTTGCCCTCTCCCCAAAAAGAAAAGCATCAGCCTGCCCAATTGCTTGGAGAATGGCAGGCACTGGCTCAAGTGCTAGGGTCATGGTTTATCAGGTACAAGATAGTCCTATTATAGGTATTCAGAGTAGGATCTAACAACCCAAGGTAATCATGAACAGGAACCACCCATGGCCCTTAGAGAGCTTAGAAACACAAACCCTTGGAGAAGGATTGTCAATCGGTTTGGTAGCTCTCCCTGCAATCTGGCGTATTTGCTGAACCCACATAGATCACTGGGACTGATTTAGGCTCTTCAGCTTTCCACAGTGATTCCTGGAACTGTTCTACGGTAGCTTTTCCTGGACAAGCCTGTGTGCAGCACCCCTGTCCCAGAGAACGTATGACTAGTTCATTCATCTTGGTTGAAGTGCCCAGAAATAGAATATTGTGCTTTAAATTCACAGCTGGCACTAATACCAGATGAATTTTCTGTGTGGACAGGCAAAAACCAAGAGCACCCTGGAAATGTTCATAGTCAGCTCATAGTGTCACGAAGGGGTAATAAGACACACCTCAGTTCAGGAACAAGACCCGAGGTATGAACATAGGTACAGACAGAAGTTAAAAGCGAGACATGCTTTCCTTCCTGTTGGCTAAACCAAGGGGCTGCAACTCCTATGGGAAGTGCTTAATGAGAAAGGAAAGTGTGACTGATATCTGAGTCTGTATTGAGCATATTTCATGAAAGCAGCACACTGAGAGATCCCTTCTGAGAAGTCGTGAAGTAGGATGACCCAAAGCCGGCTGGTTTGCAGGAGTGCACGGTGCATAACACAGTTGCTCACTCTCCGTTAGCTGGATGGAGGGAACATCTTAGTCACAGTTAAGGGAACCATTCACAGGGAGCTGAAACCTTTACCTCCTGTTGCAACAGAGGAGCTGTTGTTTTTTTCTTGTCCACCACTTATGTCACCACTTGTGCATGGCAGACAACTCTCCCCCACTTCCCAGCAAGCTTTCCATGTCATTGAATCACACCACTGATGTCCCTGCGGGGAGGTGCCCAAAAATTGGTATCTCACAGGGCGCATTGCAAATACCTTGGCTGAACAGCCACTGCAGAGCGAGTGAGTACATATTCATGAGGAGCTGGTATCTGGTTAATGCTGCTTTTTTTTAACTGAAACTGCAGCTCTTCATGAGAATCAGTAAGGGTCCTCCAGGGGCTTGACTCACTGGCCATGAGGTAAATGCCTTTCATCAGAGGCCAGATGAAAAGTTCTCTAAGATCAAAGGAGACTCACACCGATCCCAGTGGGTTTTTATTTGGGGGTTAAGGGTCTGGGGTTAAAATGTTAGCTCTGTTCATGAGCTAAGGGTGGGTCAGTTCTGTCAAAGTCCTCCTGGCAGCAGAGCTCTTGTATCCAAGGGTTTGAAAATTAAAGACCTCTGAATAAAAGGATTTAAACCCACATTTCCCATCCCATGTGATACTGCATAGCACGCTGGGGTCAGAAGAGATGATCTCATTCCCTCCTGCTGAAGCTGTTCCGCTTGACATAGATAAATTAAGTATTGATGCAAGTATTGATTACTGTTGTGTTACATATTGGAAAACTTACCCTCATCCTTTAGTGGACGTTTTTCCATCTCGCTATAATTAGATGCCCAGGCGGATACTCTTCCCACTGAGGAAGCAAGGCTGTCTTGACTCAGGCTGCTGGGGTCAAGACTCAGGCTGCTGGGCAAGGCAGTAGCAGAAAGCACAATTGCGTTAGTATGCAGAGGGAGAACACTGCCCAGGACAAGAAGCACTGGCAGCGAGGTGCTGGGTTGTGTTTAGAGGCTGCATTTGAAGAGCACAGTGAGTGCAAGGGGGAGGAGATCCTCTGAGAGGGTTACTGTGCATGGGAGATCACTGGTTGGGACTGGGAAGATCACAAGTAGGATGTTTCTAAGGAAAAGGCTCCTCTGGCACTGTGACTCTGGGTGTGACTTTTCAACAGTGTTTATGAAGCCATTATATGAGGCCATATCTACAATGGGAGTATTTTACCAGCCTGGATTCAACAATACTGGCAAGGTACATGGTTTGTTCTGCACTTCGGGTCAACATAGTACAGCCACATACATCTCTCTGGGCAAAGCGGAGCAAACTGTTCCAGTGAGTTGGTCACTGTGCTTTTGCTTAGGGAGTTTGCAGCTGTCTTGGTGAAGATTGCACCTCTTTATACCCTAGCTTTACCCAGCAGGTCTGTAGGATAGACATGGTCTTTACGAATCACATCCTCTACCTGCGTGCCTTTTGAAAACACCTTAATGCTTCTACATTTTGGAAGCCCTTCATGTGGAGAATGCATACAAAGTGGAGTTAAAGAGTCCTACAAATACTAAAGCCCCCAAAACAGAGGAGGGCAAAACAGTTCCTCCCGCTATGTGGTTTGATCTATGTCCTTTTCAGATTTTGCTCTGAATCACAAGGTTAATATAGGTCTCATAGCACAGAGACGTTTTCAGTAGAAACTGAGTATTTTCAGTTAAAGTGATGTACAAACACAGAAGCTTCATATCTATGAGGCAAAATTAAAAGGAAATGTGGTTTTGGTCAAAATACCTGATTTTGATAGATTTTTCAATGCAATTAAGGTACACCTACATGGGAGGTGAATCTGCCTGGACCACTTTCAAAGCCTAGCAGCCATCTGCCCTGTGGTTCTGACCTGGTGTCATTGATAATCTCTGGGCTGTTTGATATGGGTCACGGGGCTGTGTGCCAATGCCGTTCACTGGCATGGGGTGCATTCACTTCAGAAATAGGAAGTAAACAATAGGTCAGATAAGAACTGTCACATGTTATTCACAAACAGAGAAAAGAAAACTTAAATAAGCCTCTTTTTTTGTAACATAATGTAAGCTAAAGCTCTGCTTTCTGCCAATAAAGCATCCTTGAGTGTTTACTGGCTGTGAGGGAGACAGATGAAACATTTTGCAGTTTACCAGCCTGTCTGTAGGGTTAATATTTGCACATGGTGGAGCTTTTTTCTTTTTTTTTCCCTTTCCCGAAATCAACTGAGAAGTGCATGATTTCTCATTGCAAACATCACCGTCTTCTGCAATCCTGCCAGAATCAATAGATTCCAGCAATGTTGCTGATGGGGAGATGTGTTAGTGAAACAAACTCACTGCAGTCTGTTTTCAATGCTTTTGGCGTGTATGCTCTCATTGGAGAAGAGTGCAGGGAGGGATATGAAACAAAACCACAAAACTCATTTTATGTGACACCTTATCCCACCCAGAAGCAAAGAAGCACTTAAATCCTCCCAGTCGCTCTCTGAATGGTGCTACTGTCAACAGCTGAAAGCAACATTGCCTAAAGTGGCATTTATCTTTGGGGCTATCTATCAGATTCCTTTCTAATTTTGTTACATGCATACTTCTTGCTGTTTACGCCGTACATGGTTAAAGGGAATCTTTGTTAACTCTCCACAGGTTATGACAAGGTCAGGACTGAGCACCGTACATCCTTTCGCTTCCTAAATATCAGGCCTTTAATCCCAAAGGCACCGTCATGGAGGTGGAAATGCACTACAAGAATACCTTCTCTCCAGTCTGCCCGTAAGGTTACCTCTGCAGACAAAACCTGGCAGACACAAGGGAAGCCTTCTCTGGAAGACTGCCCTGAGGTCTGCAGCATAAGGATGAGTTTATGTGGGATTTCAGGCAGAAATGAGCCACTTTCTTCCTGCTATAGGTTTATGTTTAAAGAGCATCAAGAAGGGATTTATCCTTGTGCTGACCTATCCTGGATTTCTGAGACAGACAAAGCACTGGAGTGACCTGGATGGTTATCCTACCTCTGGCCAGGGCTGCACAAGGTGTCCTTGTCAACTCACAGCCCTGCTCCATTTCCCCAGGATGTACAGGGTTGTCTCTTTTGCTGGCCATTTTGAGAATGACCACACAGTACTTACACATAATTAATTTGCAGCCCGTTAAAACTAGAAGGCAAATCCTGCTGCCATTGGTTTGTCAGTGGACAAGTTTTGGCCTACCTATGGTGGCAGAGAGACGTGTTATCATTTAGGTGTTCGATAGTTTCTTGTCTCTAGCCCAACAGACAAAAATTAGGACCTTGATGAACAACATCAACCATTCCTAGTGCATTACAGGAATGTATTGGTGTGCCAAGGAGGCTGTGCCTCCCTTCCCTCCAGTGCCCCTAGGAGGAAAGCCCAAGTGCTATGCGGCGTCACAGCAGTAGCAGTAAGTTGCTTTAGAAGACAAGCCATCGTCTGCCACTGCTGTTTGAGAGGGATAGTCTCAGTATGCAGACCCACAGCTAGCCTGGGAAAGCACTTGGCAAAGATGGAGCAAGCCTACCCTTTATGCCAGCACACAGGGAGCCGAGTCTCTGTGGTCAGTTCATCCTCAGGAACTCCTTGTCCTCTGCCACTGAGAGGCAGAAAACTGAAGAACTGAGCAGGGAATCAGTTGCACAAAGAAAAGCCATTCAAAGTTGAATGCTGTCCCAGGCTTCTTAACCATCTGATACACAGATGCATGGAGAACCCCTTCTGTAAAGATACCTCCATGCGTGCCCCACTCACCATGCAAAACCTCAGGCTACAATGAACTGTCAGAATAGGAGAACTGAGTCTAGATTTGGGGGCAAAAGTTTACTTATGATCCCCCATCTGAGGAGGCAGATGAATAACCCATGTTGACAAAAGATCTGCAGAAACAAATTAAGAGAAAAGGAAAACACCGTGGATGGTTGAAAGCCTGCATGTTCCTCAGCTATCCAAACTTCTCCATCTCCCTGAGGGACCATGAGAGCTTGATTGATTCCTCTGGCTGCAGGAGAGG